AAAAGCCTTAGCAACTGATGGTGGCCAGCAAGGAAAGCCACTGGTGCCGCCATGGAAACCTGTAGCCTTAAACACTGTCTTGAAGGCCCTTGCTCATTTTCCCAGGCAAATGTCAAGGGGCTCCAGGAGAAGCCCCAGTAGAGGGGACCTGATGGGGAAGGCTCAGCCCTTGGCAGCGACCTCACCTGGACAGTGCTGGAGAAGCCTTCCAGCACCAGCTCCATAGTCTCGCCTGGCTCCAGATTCATATTCAGTGGCCGCAGCTTAAATACGGGGGTGGTGGGTCTCTGGGGAGCGTTTTTGCCCTTGGGGACACTGAGGGCAGGGAGACGATGACGCTGTCGAAAGGTGCTGAAACCTTCTGTGCCCCAGCACAGCCGCTGGAACCGCCGCCCCTTGTTTGTGACGTTGAACCGGAAAATGCAGGGAACGAGGCTGGAGGAGAAGCAGAGATGGAAAAGGTCATGGGAGCTGCTATTTCCTGGCAGTCAAGTGCTCTTAGTGAGCAATCTGAGGTGTTAATAGCTTGGAGACTGTCCTCATTTCCCACTCTTAATGTGGACCAGAAATAATGTCTGATGCCCTTCTGATGTCATTATTGCAAAGAGAAATAGGTTTATACTGGTAATGTAGTATTTCCACGTCTTCCCTCACCACAGGGGACTTCCTTCATCACCATGGGCTTTTTCCCTCACCATCCTGGGCTTCCCTTAATGGATCCAGATGGAAACCATCACTTTGAGAACACTTCACCACCAAGAAGGCCACAAGAAGAGCATCAATGGGATGCCATTGGAATCCATGGAGCGGTGATATTTTCTCTACTTAATCTGTCTCTCTGTCATTCTCTTTCTCTCCCCCTTCTCTCTTTTTCCAATTTCTTTCTGTCTCTCTCTACCTCACATTTACTGTTAAATAAAAATCCATACTACTGACTTTGGCATACAGTCTTGTTTGCCCCTTAATTTGGGCAGAGGCGTCTCTCTAATAATTTAAGGAACCTGAGCATTTTTCTAAACATGTTTCTAAAGGAATCTCTGGCTTCAGGGAAACAGAGCCAAGGCTGGGAGCACTGAAGAAGATTTAGCCTGAAAGTCTACAGCATAACTGCTCCTTGCTGAGCCAAGAGGAGAGGCAGGAGTTAAGAGATCTCTTACTTGAACTGGGGTTCCAAATTCAGCTCCGGAGCAAACGGTTTGTCGATGGTAATTGTGGTGCCAATGCCGACAGCCTCGATGGGGGTGATGCTGATAAGGCTATTCTCAATGAACAGCTTCATGCTGTCCTCAAATTTCCTTGTGTCATCCAGGTGTGCAGTGACAACCACAGGAATCTCAGCCTTGGCAGGGACCACTCCTTCGCTGGGTTCAATACTCCAGCATTTGTCACCCTGTAAGACAAGCCAAACATGCATTTAGGATGGAAACCATGGACCCTGGTGACTTGTGGGGTGTGAGAAAAGGAACGACTACAGAGAGGAGGATAAAAATCGTAAAGGCTTCATTTCCCTAAATCTAAGCTACTGTGTCTGGGCAAGAGCAGAGCTTATACAACCTGTAGTTTACCCTCCTTTAACCCATTTTAACAGACTTTTAAGTTTTGGCCAACCCAAGGGATGCTCCTCCTCAGGAGAAGGTTATTCCCTCTCCAGTCTTGGAGTGTGTGCCAAGGGAAGCTACTTTCTCTCTCCTGGCTTGCCCACAAAGAGCTGGGTTTTCACAAAGGCTCAAGGCTGCAGAAAGCCACGACTGCTCAAATCCCACCACAGCAGCCACACAGCTGGAGGATACTGCTGAGAGCCTGAAGACTAACTCTGCAAAACCACTTGAGCAAAAGCCCAGCACCAAAGTCCTCGCCCCTGCAGGACCAAAGCCCTGGCTTCCCACTGATCATCAGCTGCAAAGAGGTGCCCCAGAGCCCTCTGCTTTGGAAAAGCCAGCTCTAAATGGTTATAGCAGGGCAGGAAAACAGTAAGGAGAAAGAAGACTGCCCTGTGGGCATGGCCCAGCCTTCCCAAACACTCTGGTCCTCTGCTTTCTCATGGACTTCCCTCTATGGATGGGGTAAGAAAGCTGCAAGCTGCCCTGGGCAGGGAGGGAAGGCTTTACACTGGGACAGCTGTACAGACACAGCTCGGCAGGTCCCGGCCTGGTATGAGCATGCAAAAACTATCACTTCCACGCCAGCACCACCCATCCGAGGTGGCTTGCTCTCTGCAGGGGTGGAGAGCAGAATTTCATTGTGGAGGTGAAGAAAGCTGCCCCTGAAAACCTTCACTTGGAGGTTACATTTACTCCTCAGACACTTGGGAAAGCAGCAAGTGGAAAACTCGCTCTCCTCCTCCTTGGTCCAGGAGGCTGAGCCTGGACTCTCTCCCACTGTCTGATGCTTTATCCACAGACACAACCACAGCCACCATGTCGGGGCTGCTTTCAACCAGCTGCAGCAGTCCACCCAACTCAGCATGGAGGAGAACAAACCTCCCCCCAAGCCTGTTTCCAAGCCCCTCCCAGACACCCCCGCAGCGGGGAGCACATCCCAGCCAGCCCAGCCCCGCTGGCTGCACCAGCTCTGCTGCACCAGCTCAGCTCCCCCTGCCAGGGGAGCAGCCCCAGCTCCTTCTGCCCTGTGCAGCCTCCACGAATTAAATAGCCTTTCTCTGCAGCTGCTCTCCAGATACTCTGCAAGGCTACGGAGGCCACAGGCTCCAGGGGTGCACAACCCCCGCAGGTGGATTTGTGTGCAATAGCCCGGCTGCTCTGACCCCCAGGAGGGAGAAAGTCCTCTCCCCACCCGGAGCTTGAGGACAGACCTCACACCCTGGTCTCTACCATTAACAGCACTTTGGCACAAAGCAAATGTAGATGGTATGAGGAAACCATGGGGAAGTCCTCGCCCTCTCAGGAGCAAAGGGCCACAGGCTTCTCTTCATCTCAGAGCTCCAAAAACGTGACTTGCACCGTTAAATACCTTCCACAAAATAAAGGGTGAACTTGTAACCACAATGCAGACTCGCTTCTGCTCCTACAACTCTGCAAACTATTTCACTGAAGGTTGTCCCAGCTAAAACCACCTGCAGAGCCAGGCTCCTCTTGCCTCAGATGGAATCTCTTGCCTCCTCTCTGCCACAGAGTGACAGAGAAACCTTACATATAAAATCCAAGTCCTGGGCTGCTACTGACCAGGGAGTTTCACTGGAAAACAGCCCCACAGACACTTACGGTCTCTAATCTGAAGGCTGCAGGGATGAGCCCCTGATTGCACAGCTGGAGAGTTTGGGAAGTGTCCTGTAACACTCGGATCTTGCCGAAGTTTATCTTATTCACACTTGCATAGACAAGGGGTGTCTTTCCAGTGCACATTAAACGCATTTGCTGTTCCAGGGAGAAGGTAAGAGAGATTTAAAAAAACCAAACTCACACAACAGGGAAAGTTAAGAAAGCTTAAACAGCTCAATCGCACTCAAGTCATTTCTCTAGGGACAGATATGACACTCCAGTTAAAATGCTGGCCTTTTAGGAAAAATTTGACATATTCCTCTCCAAATTAAAAAAAGATTAAAGTCTGGCAATCTTTCAAACTGTAAACTGTTGGCCCAAAGGTAAAAGCTTTGCAAGAAACCTGTAGTTAAAAACAGTCTGACAGTTAAACAACTGGTTATTCTGGTGGGGACAAACCCTGCTCTTTAAGGGAAGCAGCCTGATAGTTATGAGCAAGTGTTTTGTTAAAAGTCAGGCTCCCCTGCACAGCCTGCACTGCCTGGCCTTCCTGTTGACTGCTTTACGTGCACAATGGCAATGGCCCGGCTTGAGATGTTTGGTGCCATCCAGGGGATTTGGCATTGTCATTTCCATTTGCTTGAATATAAGTTTAATTCCCTGCAACCACTTTTTCTGACACAGAAAGCTGAAGGTTCCCAGAAATCCTCCTTTTGTGTTCAGAGAGATGACATTTTAAAAGAGATGTTTTCACAGTTACCAGCATTTTAAATGGAAGATTAATTAAATAAAATGATCCTCGATTTCAGCTTAGATTAACTACATGCTGAGATTACTCCCTGGGAGGACTCCACTCTTCCTCTTTTCCAGCATAAGCTGCTTATGCCACCAATGCCTTCTGTCCTTGTCCACGCCAGCCATGTACATGTCCCTGCTTTCCCTGGAAGAATCCCTGTACACTTCACCCCTCACCCCCCCCAGGATGAGCTGCACAAAGGCACATGTCTCCCCTCACACTCACCAGTGGGGATCTTTCCTTCCCGAACACGGCGATATCCACCAGGATGGAATGAGCACCCACTGCCTGGGCTTCAGCTGTAATTGGGATCTCCACCGAGTCGTGACCCTTGATAATCCCACACGGCTTGGGGCTGGAGTACCACAGAGCAGCGGCCTCTTGGTCTCTCTAGAGGGACAGAATCAAGTGCAACTTCAGAGGGACCTTTGAGGAAACTTTAAACTCCTTAACATCTACCACAATGGCAACTCACACACGTTTTTTAAAAATCCCCAGGAAAAAGCTGAAAGGCACAAAAAAAGATGCAAGAATTGTTGGGGGGATTAGCATCCTCAGAGGGTCCAACAGCTGCTGCATCCACAGACACCCACTCCTGTGCTGGCAGCCTCCTTGCAGCAGCTTTTCACAACCTTCTAAGATCTCTCACAAGAAAACACCCCAAACACTAGAATATAAACTGCTTCCTGAAGAGATTAAAATGCTTCCTAAAGTTGATATTCAGGTAGGTTCCAATTTAACCGCTTCCTAAAGTTTACATTCAGGTAGAATCCTGTTCTCAGTGCATCTTTAAGTCTGAACAGAAGCCAGCAAGGTCTTATCCGAACCCCATTTTTCCCTAATAAACCTCTCAATAGTATTTGAGAGGAGGAGATGGATGAGATGCCAAACCTGAGGGAGAATTCTGTAGCATCCTGGAAGGGGGCTCGGGTTCACAAGGGTCAGCTTCTTCTGGCAAGGGACCTTTGCAGAGCACAGTCCACAGTCGAGGGTGGAGGTGAGCAAACGCAGCTCAGGAACGACACATCTGGGCAAAGAGATGACCCCGAGGGAATGAGAGATACTGAGAGAATGGAGAGCGTTCACCCCGCAGAGCATGGAATGGAGCATAAGACATTTGTCACTGTCTAACAGACGTTTAATACCCCTAGAGAGATAAATCACCTTTCATGTCTTTCCACTCAAACACGTCTTGTCAAGGAGGGGCAAACCCTGAGACTCAGCACTGCAGAGGCTGCCAAGTGCCCGGGCAGAGCACGGAGCCTTCCCATTGAGGGTCAGTGCTCACCAAGGCTCAAGGAACACAAGACTCCAGTGTCTCAGGAAAAACAATTCCCTTCTCTCCCAGGGTGCTGTTGCCCTGCCAGAAAACTCAGTTGTTTGCCCAGTGTTGAGGGCACGAGCCACCACCTGCCCTAGGGAGTGGGTGATCACCCTCCCAGTTCCTACAGCTCCCTTGCTGCTGCACCTCACGGGTCCCAGGTCCGTCCCCGTTGGCACTTGCTTTACAAAACTGCAGCCCAGGCACTGACTGGACGGCTCTGCCTGGGAGAGGGAACGGCACCAGGGAACTGCATCCCTCTTGTCATTGAACTGACTCCCACGGCAGCACCACAGGAGGGAATTTGGCTGCAGCAACAGCAACATCTGCGTTAAGTCTGAGAATGTTAATGCTCAAAAGAGCCAGAGGGAAGCAGGGAAACCTGAGCCCACCTGCCACATCCAGGACTACTTTCCCCTCATAAGATCTTGCCTTTCTTTTGCTCTCCCCACTCCTGCCAGGAGCCTCTTTCCCATTGCCATGTGCCCTCGTTAACTAAGCCAGACCCCAGCTCTCAGCAGGCTGCTCATGTGTCCCAAACCAGTGCTGCAGTGTGGTTGGAACCCAGCACAAGCCCACCTCTTGCAGGAAGGAGGACAGGAGGACCTCGGGAATTTTTTACACCTCAAGCAGCAAAAGCCAGGCCAATAAATAATGTCATTCCTGTTCCCCATAGAAAAAGGCCCAGGGCCATATCTGTCTCTGAGCAGGGGTGCTTCTCACCACGGGCTGCTTTCCAAGCACTGCTGTTCTCCTATCTAGCTGGGCAGAACCAGCTTCTCGAGCAAGCCTTCTCCTGGAGCTGCAGCCAGCAAACCCCAAGCAAGGCACTGTGCTGGTGGCGGGTGCACGGGGAAGGACAAGCAGCTGCAAGGAAAGCACTGGTACCTGGCTTTGAGGCGCAGAGCCAACAGCTCCTTGCCAAATCCATCCACGTCCACCACCATATCACAGTCATATTGTCCCTCGTCATTGGAACACAGTGTGACCTGGTGGAAGAGAAAAGCAGCAAATACTTCCCTTGTCCCAGAAGCTCATTACCCATGTGTGGTCTCCTCCAGTTCCTGTTTTGCAGTAAGGAAAGGGAGGATTTTGCCTTAATTCTTCTGCTGGCCCATGCATAGAGCACAGTCTCTGGGAGTAACACAAGCCTTCTGGCAATACTGAATTTGTTAAACAAACCTTGCAGCTGTCAGGGCATAGGTGGCTAAATTAAAGCATTATACATACAAATAGAATTAAAGCATTATACATAATCACATATAATGAGACTAAAGCTCTATTCACCACTGTCTTCAAATTAGGGGCCCATTTTTCATTTGACTACAATAACATAAATGCAAAGGAAATGTGTTGACTTGGACAGAATGAGATCAGCTTTTCAGCAGGAAGCTGAGGGCAAAGTGTGCTCCTGCAGATGCTGGGCAGTTCATGGCTGCCGAGTTTTTTCTTTCCTCACTGGGGATCCCCGCAGTGATCACAACTCATTCTGCTCCCCGGGAGAGGAGAAATGAGACCGGGAAGAAAAGCAAACTGCTTTATACAGTGGCATCTCTCTAACAGCCACCTTCTGTCCTCATACTTCCTCTGCCTGTTCTCAGTCAAAGAAGTCACGCTCAAAAACAAAACACACATGGCTTCTGTTGACCATGTGATCTCAGCTTATGATTTTGGAGACTAAATGGTGCTCCTTCAGGAACATTCCATGTAACCCAGCTCCCACACCAGTGCAGATCCCTCCCTTGCACACGCTGAGAACCGGCAGCACTAAAGCCCTCCCACATCCCAGTGAGGCTTCAGCCCCACCTCCTGACCCATGTGTGGCCAGACTCCTCCCATACCCTGATCTCCTGGGATCCCTCAGCAGGGATGGTCCCTGTGCTGGGTGTTATGGAGAATTCCATTGGCTTCTCGTAACATTGAGCCAGTGTGCCTCTTTCCCAGGAGGGCTGAGCGTTGTTTTTCACTTGATCAAAGCTGGTAAGGCTGGGCTGTCCCTGGCCGTCCTCAGGAATGCGAAGATGGAAGGTGATGGGCACCACGGAGCTGTTGATCAGGCGGCACGACAAGGTCTGAGGAAAGCCTAGGAAATGACACAAATGGCCGTGTAGGCACCAAGCATCTCGTGATTTCTGCTGTGAATATCCTGGTAGGATGAACCTGTGCTTGGAGTTTAGCTCTTTGTTATCTGAATGACAGCTCACTGAGCAGCTCAGTGAGCAGTGAATTGTCACTTGGACACTGATCCCAGGTTGCTGCCTTGGGACTGGGAGATTGGAGCAGAAGAGACTACGAGGGACACCAGAAAATACTGACTTTCTATTCCTTTGGTCCTTTCGGATCTCACGATGGCAAAATGCCATCAGCAGCCCTGGAGTTAACACCCTGCAGGCTGCCATGGAAGGGCACGAGTGACAGATGTTCTTCTGTCAAGTGCTCCATTTTGGCAAGGCACAGATCCCTCCTGCTGCGTCCAAGCCCAGGGAACACTCACCGAAGGAGACGTCATTGAAGTCAAGGCCACTTGTGCTGAAATGCAGGCTCAGTCCGGTGACGTGGCCACTGTGAGGACGAGGACAGAGGAGGCAATGGCTTGGTTAAAGGGAACTGCAAAGCCTTCGGCCGTCCTTCCAGCCCAGGTGGGTCAAAGCTGGTGTCAGAGCCCCGTGGGTGTCGAACCAGCCCAGCACCCTGTGCTCAGCACAGCATCCGACAGCTGCTGATGGGGCTCAGGGCACCACGGCAGGCAGGGCGTGCCCCCAAAGTGCTGCTGGCCCCATGGAGGACCCTGTACACACACCCAGAGATGGCTCTGTGCCCCTGCCTTAGGAGAAGGACCAACTTACTACTTTTCTCTTGCAAAGTAATAACCTTCTTGTCATGTTTTATCCATTTCCCTTATATTATTGGTAAAATGGACTGCAGATTCCTTTTGTTTCTTTACTACCTTGATTCAATGCCTCCCAACAGCGGCCCAGACACAGCCACTTCCAAAGCTCCAGAGCTCCCAGCATCAGCTTTCCTGCCTACACCACATTACCCCACCAGCCCGTGGTTCAGACTAGCTGGGACAAGCCCTCATGCTGCTGTGGTGCTGAGAAGGGAGCTTTGCCTCCCCTGTCATCACCCCTTCTCCCCTTTGCTGGGCGAGGATGATCTTTTGCAATGGCACCAGCCCATGGGAGGATGCCCAAGTCCTTGTGACAGTCCTTGCTGCTGCAGAGCTCCCCATCTCCCACCCCAGCCCCTTCCTGCTGTGGAAAGGAGGCACCAGAGCACTCCCTGCACAGGAGCCGGGAGCACAGCCTGTGCCCATGCCCGGGCACGAGGGATGATGTGAGGCTGCTGCTGCCCCTTTGGCATGGATCATTAACAGAGGATTTTAGAACCACTTCTTCTGGTTGCGGAATCACCCAGGCTGGCCCATCTCCAAAGCCCTGGGGGCCTTGCTGGGTGTTCAGAGGGGACATCCCAGACCAGCAACCGCCCAGAGCTGATGCCTTCCCACTGCCTGCCACGGCCAAGGCAGAGGGAGATCCCTGCAGGAAGGAGTCACTCCAGCTCCTGGGTACCTGCACTGGGCAGAAGGCATCCCCACACTAAGGGGATGCCAGCATCAGAGCCAAGACTAAGACCTTGGACAACACCTTTTTTCTCTGCTCCACCACCAAATGAGGCAGGTGGGAGATGATTACCCAGAGACAGCTACAGACGTGCCCACCAAGGTCCCAGAGCCCTCCTCACCTGACAGTCAAGGTCACAGGCTTAGGGGATTCCATCACATTGAAATTGAATTCTTCCTCGAACTCCCCCAGGGTGGTGGAACTGAAGAAGATCTGGATGGGCAGGAGTCCATTGGGTGGAACGATGCCCTTCTGGGGCTGAAAGGTGAAGCAGGAGCCGTAGGCTGTGGTTGGAGGGATGAGCTCGAAGGGAGCTTTGATAGCTCCTTTGTTAATCAGGATTGCCTGCAGCAGCAAGAAAGTAAAATGGAAATACATGAGCGACCTTCCTTTCTTATAGAAGGCTGAGTTGCTTTCTAATAAATGATTAACCCCTGGAAAGGCAGAAGATGCTGTGTGCTGCTACATGGCAGAAGCCAAAAAAGTACAACAGGACAAGTTCTGCCTTTGGGTTTTCATGCAAAGCAGCAATAACTTCACATAAGCAGAGTCACTCCTGGGTTATCCCAGGGACACGGAGCAGGTCACTCCTGGCCAGCATCGCCAAGTTCATTCAGACCCGGCCTGAGGAGCAACGTGGGGCAGTTGCAGCCACGCAGTGAATCCCCACAGAGCTGCTGCTGCTCCAGGGGTGCCCCACCCTGGCAAGGGCAGCACACATGCAGCTTCCATGGCAGCCAACCAGTTTATTGCGTGTAGAAGACACCTCAGAACAGTGCTATCACCAACTTCAGAAGCTCTCCCCAGCTCTGCTAGGGTAGATCATTTGGGATTATTGTATTTTTTCTTTAATCTGATAGTTTCTTAGACCTTGCTCAGCCAGACATGTCAAGAAAGGATGAGTGTGAGGTGCACAGCAGCTCCACCTCTTCTAAAGAGTTGCTCTCTCATGTCTACACAGCCATGGGGAAACCTTGCCATTGCCATGGACTTATCCATCTGCTTTGGAATTCTTTCCCCAATTGTTAGCCTGGCAAAACCTGTCAGAACAGTTGAGGCAGAAACAGAGGGATGTCCCTCATTTTGTAGCTTTGCAGCTGCTGTTGAAAATATTCCCGTATTCAACCTCTGCCTTGAAACTTGAAAACTACTCTCCTCTCATGCGTGTTACTTGTGTTACAACTTGCACTTGGGGATCCCATGCTGAGCTGAGGTTTACCTGCAGTGTAGCTGCTTAGGACACCACTAACAGTATCATCTACTCATTCACCTTTTCTCATGTAATGAAATTAGTATATTGATAGTGAAAAACAATAAAGTATCAGCATCAAAAATGCAGAGAGAGCACAATCTTTTGGTAAGAAAACAACTCCGTGTGTCCTTCCCTGCCATGGCAAAGCTTCTGAAAGTGTCTGGGATGGTGTAGTGCCTCATTTTCCACCTTTTTCAGTTGCTCTCTCTTGCAGTGGACTCAAGCTCAAACACAGCCAGTTTGTTCCAGCTGCTCTTGAACAGCCCAAGCACAAAGATGCCTTGAGTCTGAGGCTGGAACAGAAGCCTCTGAACACTTCAGCTTTTTGACCCAGTGTTGCTTTCATGTGTTGAGGAGTTGTTTTGGAGAAAGCATCCCAGCTGATCTCCAAGGGAGGTTGCCAAAAAGCAGGAATTGGGGCTTCATGAACAACAGACAACACCTTTCAGACCTCGGAAAAGGATCCAGATTCTGTGAAATTCCCCAGATTTGACTAGTATGTCAAATATTCCCTGCTCACAACTGCCCGAATTGCCAGAAATTCCACAGGTCCACCAGGCTCCCTCTGCCCCAGGAGCCATCAGGATCCACCCCAGCCCCTGCTGCTCACCTCATAGCTGTAGGCTTCTCCAACGAAAACTCTCCCCATGTCCAATTCCGCAAACTTGAATTGGAGGCAGGGCCCGAGGCCTTCCCCTGTGAGGCGCAGGGGCAGCCTGATCTCACGGCCTGGGGAGAGATTTCCATTTCAGTACAGTAATTCTTACTCTCTTATCCTGCTTTTTCCAGGCTGCCTCAATGCTAGTCCCTGACTCCAAGATGGGTGAGACCAGCTCCTGATGTTCCAGGGGAAGAGATGGACCCTTCTCTTCCCTCAGGTGATACGCCTTGGGGCTAGCTTCCAATTTCTAACCCACCCCTTGGGCTTGTTTCCCATTTAGCCACCAGTTTGCACCCTGAAAAAGCAATGCCAAGTTTAAAACATGATTTCTGTAGTGACAGGACAAGGAGTAATGGGGACAATTGAAAGAGGGGAAATTTAGGTTAGATATACAAAAGAAATTCTTCCCTATGGAGGTGGTGAGACCCTGGCACAGGTTGCCCAGGGAAGCTGTGGCTGCCCCGTCCCTGGCAGTGTTCAAGGCCAGGCTGGACGGGGCTCAGAGCAATCTGGGCTAGTGGAAGGTGTCTCTGCCCATGGCAGGGGGGTTCGTTAGCGTGAGCCCTGAGTAATTACTGTAGATGGCATTTGTTGAGTTATCCCTGCACAATTACTGTCTAAATAAAAAGCTGTTTCATGACATTTGTATCCATCAGCTTGGAGCAGGAAGGAAGGCAACAGAGTGGCTGGGTTAGGGGATTGCAGCACCCTCCAGAATGGGAGCCTGGCTGCTGGAGGACCATAGGCCTCCCACCTCTTTCTTGTAGATGGGCAAACCCAGAGTATTCCCTGGATGGAAACCTGACAGCCATCTCCCACTTTAAGGTGAAAAACACTAAGCAGCACCATGCAGAGACAGAGAGGAAGGACAGGGGAACCTGAACCACGCTGTGCCCTGCGAGTGTTCCCTGCCCTGTGTGGGCACAGCAAAGCCACCACCTCTGTGAGGGGGTGACTCGGGGTGGGGGGCAATGATAACTGCTCCCAGAAAAGGACTTGAGAGCACTCCTGGGAGCTGAGCACAGCAAGCCCAGTGGCCACCACCTGGATGCACCTCAGCCTGAGAGCCAGAAGGTGACAATTCCCATGCAGGGAGAGAAGCAGGTGCTGGCCAGGGGTGGTCCTTCTGCAGACAGCCTGGGCTCAGCAGGGCTCAGCCACCTCTGGTCTACTGTTATCTGGGCAGGGGGAGTAGATTCGGGCTCAGGGAGCACATTTCTACCTCAGCTCCTACCACCTGATGATGGATCCATGTAATGAGGAGCCATCCTGGAGGTCAGTGCTCTAAGAGGGGCTTAGTGCCCATTCCCTAAAGCTGTTCTGCTGTGTAGCTCTTTGGGCCTTTGAGGAAATACTGGCAAACCCATGGCATGAAAGCTTATCCATGCACTGCTTGGATTGTTCCGGGATCAGTGTCCTGAGCCCTGGCCTTGCATGGGAGACCACCAGGAAGCTGCAGGGACAGTGCACATGAGCCAGCACTGCCCTGCTGACCTTGGACCCTTCCCATCACTTCCACGGGAGCCCAGTGGGCTGGAAGAGTATTTGCACTTCCCCCTCACTGTGGGTGAGAGAAAGAGGAGAAGGAGCCGTACCTGAGATGGCACAGTAGGCCACTTTTCTATAGACTTGGCTGTCTCGGGGTTTAAAGGACACCTTGATTTCAGCTGAAGAATGTGGCCCAACCTCTCCCTCCTAAAACAGAAAGAGACAGCAAATGATTTACCTTCCAATATCACATTTCTTCTTTTCAACCTGTAAGCCTTTACTTAGAGCAAGGAGTGAACAACACAAAGAGCCCGAGGAAACACTCCAAAACCAGCTCAACACACCGCAGGATGCTCTTAATGCTCAGCTGATCAGCTCCCACTCTACAATATTCCTACTGCTCTGACACAAGCTCTTGGTCACATCATGCTGCTGTCAGCTACAGTGGTGTGAAACTGCTGTTGTGCTGACACTGGTGGCTCTTGGCCTTAGACTGGCTATAGGAGTAACCAAGAAGAGAACATGATCCCCTTCCTTGGAAAGAAAAAACTTAGTTCAACTTATTTTAAAAGAAAGCAGAGGCTGGGATTATTGTAGGGTCTACTCCAAGATGAGGAGGGATTTTGCACTGCGCAGACAGCGGGGATTCTTCATCTCACACTGTGCCAATACTCATAGTCAGGGCTCTGGTTGATGGAAGGACATGGGGGTTTGCTTGCATAAACAGAAAAAGATTTTCTGTCCCTGTGTGCAATAGAACTCAAAAAGTCCATTTCAAAGTCTTGTGTCCAGGCTCCCAGATGACACTGGAAGGGAGACTCAGACATGCTGTAAGTCCTGGTTCCAGGGAGGGCTTGGCATTTCCATGACCTTGGGCTGAATTTGGCCTCCTTTTCGCTTCAGGGCAATCTGTGAACTGACAGTGCTCCAACACCCTCTGCTAAGCCCCGCACATCACGTGTAAGCTGTGCCCCTTCCTACAGAAACCGACCCCTCTGGACACTGCAAGGACACACACCAAGCTCCCTTGATGTCGAGCCCTTGCAGCAGAGCTCAGCTTTAGGCAGGTTCCTGCTGCCTTCCAGGAGCTCACAGGGTCGCAATGCTTTTTGCAACAAGCTCTCCAGCCTCACCAGGAACCTGATGTCTTCTTTCTGGGCACATCAAGCCAGCTGAGGTGGGGATCTGCCGAGTGACCTCATTCAGGGAGGAGGAGGAGGAGGAGATTCTCAGCTATCACTTACCAAAGGTTCAATGGTGAAAACGTCATCTGAGAACAGCAAGGGGTCTGCTTCAATCTTTGCTTCTGCTTCAATCTTCTCCTTCTCCAACTTGCGCTTGTAAAGGCGAGCCTCCTCATAGCGCTCCATCGCAAAAGCCTTTGGGTGCTCGTGGGAGCGCAGAGACAGATTGTAAGACAGCCTGCAGCCACAGGGAGAAACAAAGGCAGCAGATCATTTAATAAGCCACTGATTTGCAGAGCTGAGTGTAAGTGCAGAAGCAGCAAAGCGCTCAGGGAGGAGCAGCAGCAGCTCCACAGCAAGGGGCTGAGCCCAAGCCACGGGGTCCCAAAGGGCTCAGAGGATCACTTGTTCACTCGCAGGGCAGGTGGTTTTTACTCCACACTTACAAGCTCAGGAGAGCTTTTGAAAGCCAGCAGCCCTCAAGAGAACCTCCTGGCTCAGAGCCACTGCCCAAACTGAGGGAGAACCCACCAGTGACCTCAACTGACTCTTCCTACCACAGAGCTGCTTGGGGGAGGCAGATAAAGATCAAGGAGTCCCCTCATTGCCTGCAGGGCTTCCCTGGGAAGGGGAGAAGAAGCTGGCTCTCAGCTGCAGGTTACCAGCATCACTCTTGGCTTCTTCCCTTTTGGACCTGCAGGGATAAGCTAACCCTGTGTGCCCTGTTCCCTACACTGCCTTCCACCAGAGCATCCCAGAGCACTTCCAAAGCCAGTTGATGAATTCAGGCATGGCATCTCTTCAGTGACATTAAAGGTTTTATATGCATGAAAACAGAGGCCCTGAGAGGGGGACATCTAGCTTTGAACCACCTTCTTTTTTCCTCCTTTTGGCCTTCTCTGCAGACCTTTGGCACAGTTAATTGCTCCGTTACTTGGTAGCTGCAGCAGAAATCATTCTAGTGTTTTAAGATCACAGCCAAGAGATGAGAAAGGAACAGCTGGCAGATCACTGTTCCCCCCTCAGACCCCAGACCCCTGGCCGTGAAGAACCTGCAGGTGGCAACTGGGGGGACAAGTAGAAGGCTCCATGGGGAGCAAATTGAGGCAGTGGAGTATAAACAGGACAGCATCCTCACCTAGCCAAATTCAAACACAGTTAGAAAGGAAGTACAGTCATGGATATTACCAGCTGCACACAGACAGAGCCTTGGGCAAACACTGTCACTGGCACCAAAAATACTGGCTATGGCTGGCTCCCTGCGCAGCGCATTCGGAAATGTTTCTCCAGGGCTGACCTGCAGTGCTGGGCATGAGGAGGGCTCCCAGCCACTGAGATGCAACCCTCTGCTCAACCTCCATCAACAGACAGTGATTTCACCATGATGTGCCAGAAGGCCCTGATACTTTGCAGCCCCACCTTCCACTGCCTTGTGTCATATAACAAGTGAATACCTGCCCGAGTGCAAGAAGCGGGGTCACAAATAGGACGATTGATTAAGGGGGCACTCGCCTCGGAGGACCCCCAGAGTGGGCCCCTGACAACCACTGAACTAAGACCTGAGCATGTGGAATGGCAAAACCACTGCCACTCTCACCTCCCATGCTAATGAGGCACTGTATAGAAGTAACTCACATAAATGGCCAGGAGACAGAGGAGCTAACTAAAAAATAAACCTTTATCCTAATAAAAGGGAGAGTTCACTCAACAAACCTCAGTGAGGTCTCTCAACTCAGTGGAGGTTGCAGCTTCTTTTATCCCCTTTGCCTGGAGCACAGGTCCCTCCCCATTTCTTCATTGGCTGGGATACTCTGGAGTTACAGGCTTCCCAGCAGGCCTACTGTGTGTCCCCCATTATGTGCTCATTAGGTGGCTCTGGAGGTCACTGACGTTGTTCAAGGTGGAGGCCACAGCACTTCAAAATGGAGGACAGGGCCACAGCACTTCAAAATGGAGGACAGGGCCACATGATGTGCCGCTGGTTGGTCCCCCTGTCTCTGGGCAAACTGCACCTCTGCTGAACTGACTACTGAACAACCAGCAACTTTGTTGCTCTTTACTGGGAGCTGTGACTGCCCTGCAAACTTTGCAGGAACACCTGCTTGTTCCTAATACCCTGAAGCGCTCAAAAGCACAAGCAGCCCCTGAGGCCATATGTTAGTTTTACCCTTGGGCAGTTTATGTCACCGCGTCTTTCAGACCAACCTGATCCTCTGATGATGCTCCTCTTCCTCAGTAGAGAAAGCCTTCCACTGGAATCGGGCTGTGATGTTACTTCTGTTGTGGATGAGCATGGTTCTGTGGCTTGACAGTGAGAGATAAGTCTTGTCAAGCTCCAAAGAGTGCGGGTCCATCCCGACGTTGAAGTCCTTAGCTTTCCCAAGAAGCCTGGTGTGGGTATCTTCATCTGGAACAAAGTAAAAGAGAAGCCTTTGCTCAGCTCACTCGCTGATGGAATTACAAGGACCAGAGCAACCCACAGGTAAATCTCATCCCTGTTTGAGGGCATCCACTTTATCAACCCCCTAAACACTAACTAGTTTTCACTTTTCTTTGTGGTAAAGCTGGGACGGGGCGGTGCTGCTGGAGGGGGAATTCAGGTGGCTGGGACAGTGGGGAGTTGGTAGAGGACTGTGGTGGGGGTGCAGGATGGAGAACACCCTGCTGACACCAGGGTCCCCCCAGGGATGGACTAACACACAGCAACACAGCACATCCAGAACAGGGACAGACTCAGTCTTGGCCCCTTCTTTGCTCACTTCTGAGCACTGAAACACACGGAGGCTTTGAAAGGAACAGTTCTACAAGTAGTTTGCAGAGCAAGTCTAACGTTATTCTGCTTAGAAAGGGCTCTGCTATTTTGAAGGGTGCAGGGCGAGTGCACCGTGCAGTGCCCAGCACTCACCAACTATGTCGAAGTGCACTGCCAGGGATGCGGAATGATGCCCGGACTTCCGCGGGTGATATTCCACTGTCACTTGCATGGTTTCACCAATGTCGAGGGTTCCCGTGGCTGGACTGACAGTGAAAGGGCTGCAAGACCAAGAGAGAGATCAGGACTCTTGGGGGAGGTTTGGGGACGATATTTGCAGTCTAGTTCACTTCAGCTGACTTGTGCAAGCAAGGAGCAAAGCAACTACAGTCAGCAGAAGACAGACAGAAAACACAGCATCAGAAACAGCTACTGACTCTCTTCTGAGGAGATGCAGCCTGCAGAAAATCCTGTTGGATAAAATGAACTCATCTCCCCCATACTCTGCATGGAGGCTCAAGGGTCTGACTGCCAGCAATCCCATCAGAGAGTGGTTTGGGAAGAGCACGGAGAGGGTTAAGAGCTATTTGCATGCACAACTTGACACTGACTCCCTCAGGAATGTCTCTTTTTCGGTCCCTTATAAACCTCCTTCAAGAGATGCAAACGGCAGGGCACTACCTGCCCTGTGAGATTACAGCCTAGGAATCAACAGGGAGAATAAAGTCTTCCTTGAAGACCAGAGAATAATGAGTTTAATTTGCAGTGTGGTTGTGTGGGGTTGTTTTTCTCCTTGTAAACATCCTGGTTTAGCCCAAGAAAGGGCACATTTTATCAGCATTTCAATGAAAGCTGCTCAAAGAAAAGGAGCAATGAAAACTCTGAATGAGTGCAACTGCAAATTGGAGCAATACAGTGACATGGAAACAATAGCCAAAAGGAGGGTCCCGTTTACAGCCTGAAGGATTCAATCCCAGCTAAATGAAGTGCCATTAAGAGCAGCACAGGAGCTGGAGTGTCATCCAGCCTGGTAACTCTTTGCTTGGCCCACCAGAGAAACAAGGGAAATAATTAGGCAAATGTGTTGGTGCAGTTTGGATTTAACAGGAGCAATTTGCCTTTGTCACCAGGTAAACAGCTCTTGCCTGACAGACACAAAAATCAGTGCTTTAATGCTTCGGGATAGCTCAGGTGAAAGGTGCTTCTGGCCAGTGGCTGCTGGGCTTTGTGCTCTTTGTACAGCCCCACTGAGACACCAAAATTTAGTGCTTTGCTGATGGTTAATTTGTCACCTTAAAAACATTTCCTGGGGATTCTGATGGTGATTAGAGAATGCAACACAAAAAAAAATAAAAATAAGAAGAACAACTGGAGCCGTGTGCAAGCTGAACTTTGTTCCTGTCAGTGGTGACAGCTGATGGAATTGCTGCCCTTTCTGCTCCTTAAGGAGCTATGGCTGCAATTAGGGGCCTGACCCAGGCCCATTATCACTAGTGAGAACATCACTACTGGCTAATGGAGAAGCCTTGGGCCAGCAATGTTTTTGTGCTGGGCCTGAGACTTTGGAGAGAGAGGAGGAAAGACAAGGCCCCCCTAGCCCCAGAGCTGGATTACTCTCTGTGCTCCTGCATCTGCCCCGATGGGGACGCCAGGACTGCTGCAGGGCTCTGCTGGGGCTCGGAGGTTCATTGCCTGGGGTGGGAAAGGCACAGTATTTTTTTCCTATTATTTTGCCAGAAATTTTGCCAGAACAGAGAAGCTACTAGTTAAGGGGAATCCCTGGCAACTCTTCAGCACTACCTTCCCTCCCGTTCCCTTCCTACTCCTGCCCCATGTCCATATACTCCTGCCCTCAGATGGCTGGATGGGGAATGAGACTCCTGGCGCTGACTTCAGGGGATGCCTGAGAAAGAAGGTGTTTTTCTATTTTCAAATTCTCCGAAGAGGATCCAGCCAAGTTCAGGACTAAGAACTCAAGTGCAAATCAGTCCCTGCATCTCTGACATTTTCACGTATTCCCCGAATTGCTCCTGTTTCTTATACACCTGTGCATATGCCTATGGGCAGATGGTACATCAACAGGCATGAGAGGACCTTGAAGAAAGTTCCCAAGGAAGAATGAATGACAGTTTGACAAAAATTTAACCAAGAACAAAATAAACTGAAAAAAAAGCAGAAACACGGGAACTTCAGAGTATTTTAAAAGAAATCTGAATGAAAGGTGGGGGATACTTAATTAGAATAAAATGCTTCTATTCAAATATTAAATGATCTGCTTGAAAATTTATACTGGCTTTCAAAGGTTCTTCCTGAAACAGAAGAGATGACTGATACCCTCAGCTGACAAGGGAAATCAGATCAGCTTTGACTAACAGGAACGGCACAGGCTGTTCACAACACAGCTCATGTTGGGCATCTGATGAGGGGCCCCCTGATGTGCCACATGCTTGAGGCCTCCTGGAGAATGGGTTTATTTGGGTGACAGTGGGAGGCAGCCATTTCAGAAGGTGTTGGTGCTCAGGAGGGTGCAGATCAACTACTGACGTGTTCCAGCAGTCCCCAGGAAATCTGGGAGACACAAAGCTCAGGGGTTGCATCCTGCTTAAAACACTAGAAGCAACAGCAGGCCCCACACGTCCTGCCCATTTCCAGCTGTGGCTGCAGTGCAGCAGCTCGGATGCTCTGCTTCCTTTGGGATACTCTTTCCCAACTCTGCCATCACCCAAAGTTGTTTTGCATTAAGACAGAAGAGCTGCTTTACCTCTCAGTGCTGAGGCTGTAACAGGCTTCCAGGTTCCCGGTGTTGCGAACCAGCAGAGTCTTCTGGGTGCTGTGGTTGACTGGACACGACGAGAAGTCCAGCTGGGCAGGGAAGTCCAAGACTGGACGGGCACCAATGGCCCGGATTGGCACAGTGAACTTTTCCCCTTCGCAGCTGCAGACAAGCTCGTGGACATGGTCCTTCAGGAAAAGAGACTGGCAGAGCACAGGGCATTGAGTGACATCCCCATGGCAGAAGAAAATGTGCTGTTTTCTATGACCTTTTGTGGGCATGAATTTACCTCTTCCACCCCAGAAATGACCACTAATTCATACTAATAAAGGCTGGAGAACAGAGCATGTGAAAAAGCATCATTTTTGCTCCATTCCAATGGGAAAGAATAAAGCTCTCTGGATCTTTTTGTTCCTCTGGTATTTTCCATAATTAAACCCCTTCCAGTGAGCCTCGAGATAGCTAAACATCAACATCCCTCCCTGTCATTTCCCTGCTGTTCCATGTGCCTCTTCCCTTGTGAACGTTCAAGAATAGGCATGGAGGGAAAGCAAAGCCCTCTAGGCCCAGCTGCAGGGACTGGCAGCACCATGCTGTGCCAAGGTGTTTAACCAGCTTCAGACTGGCAGCACCATGCTGTGCCAAGGTGTTTAACCACTGCAGGGACTGGCAGCACCATGCTGTGCCAAGGTGTGACCAGCTCCAGGCTGCCTGCCCCCCAGCCCAGAGCTGACCTCACAGCATGGGGTGGGCTATAACCAGTGTGCAACAAACGCCCTGGCTTTAGAGAGAATGTTCCTCCAAACTCACCTTGCTGCCCTCAGGGATGAAAAGGATGTTTATGGTGCAAAATGAGCCTGATGGAACTTGATGGCACACACCATTGGGGCCGACCAACTTGAAATAGGGTGAGCTGTCCATGGTGACCGTCACCAGCCGAGTAACCTGCAGGAAAGACACAAAATGGTGATTTTGC